TCTGACACACATGGGATTGCTGGCAACAGGGTTTTTTGGTTTGGGTTTTTTTTGAGAAAACAAAAACTCTGCTCAGCAAGTAAGAAAGATTACATAAATCGATAAAAATTCGCAAAGCCAAAGGGAGTTTTAAAAGGAATTATCATCCCTCTTTAATCTTCTTATTGTAATAAGACAGCTGGGATGGCCACCCTCTACTCTTAATCAATCTGAATATCTCTGGACTATTTTTATTTTTTATCTGACTGTCAAGGAAAGGGAAAGAATATGAGCTGGGAACAGAAAGCCTTTTACCAGAACACAGTCGACTATCAAACACTGTCTAAGCTGCATTGACAATGATCCAAAAAATAAAAAAAATACTGCTGACCAAACTAGAAAGGAATTGGCACTTTGGAATTTTGCTTCTTTATATCTGATGTTGGAATAAGGGGTGAATCAACTCTCTGAGTTAGCCTTATTCAATCCTGCACTCCCTGCCCCGCTGCCAAGTGGGCCACGCCTGGTGACTACGGCTGTGACCACACTGCTGGGGACATGTACAGCCAGATACCCCAGGTCCAGCCGAAGCCTTTACTCCAGTTTTTCCAGGGGAGTTGTTCGTCCAGCCTCCGCCTCTACAAGTCATTAAGAGATGGTTTTGGTCAACATGCATTCAATATGCATTCAATTCCTCCCTAGGTAAGCACTGTATTGGGGGTCACAGTAGCCCCAAGAGTCAAAATGGCTATCTAGAGGGAAGCGGGATGATCTAAACAGGTCTGCTCCCTAGTCTGGCTGGAACAAGGTCACAAAGGATGGACTAGCAGGGTTTCCTGTTCACGAGAAAGACACTAAAAAAAAAAAAAAACAGGTTTTGTGGTCTAACAAGTTTAGAAAAGACTATATTTTGAATGTTCCTCTGGAAGTTTCACAAAGCACGTTGTCACACTAAAAGGTAAGAAAAGTCTTGCAGTAAAGACCCTATAACACTTTAATTCACCAAGTCCCAAATTTATTTGACTATGAACTTAATTTCCAATAACACCATCTAATATTGAAACATAGTTTGGGAAATGCTTGAGAAATGATAGCTTTAATAACAGCTGTGTGGCATCAAATCTAGTCACAAGAAAAACCTTATTTTTCCAGTCCAAGAATCGCTGCTCAACA